AAAAAAAAGAGCAGAATCCGTTGGGCGCTTTTTTCTATGGTAACTTTTACTAATTCAAATATTACACAGGCCAACAAAAATTGGAAAAAATTTGGTTTCCTAAAATGTTAAAGCTGTTTTTGATAGACTTTTTTGTGCTGATTACGAATCTGTAAGTACAAATTTTCCATCAGCTTTAGATTTTGAGAAAACCGTGGTCAAAGGATCAAAAAATCGCGTTTTTCGCAATATTTTAGAAGCCCCAGCAAAAAAACAAAAGGGGATAGAAACTTCCACTTTTGCTTAAATTAAAGCTAGGACTTGGCTACTATCGCTTTAAAAATACCATTCCTGCACCTTGACTTGATGGTCACTTATAGTCATTTGTTTAATAGCAAAAACTGATTTTGGCGAAGTTTATTGTTCACTGAAAAAAGTATTACTCCTCACGAAAAAGATTAAACTAGAAGATTTACATCGCATCGCGGGTATTTTTCGTTTAATCGGCACCGATACAGTATATATGTATATTACCCGGGTACCCGGGCAAATCGGGTAATACCTGGCTTCCGGGTAATATAAACCCCGGTTAAGCGGATATCATCAGCTTCTTTTTCTTCTCCAAACACATTTTTTTTCAGAAGAAATGTTGTGTTTAAATGGCATATAAATTTTAAAAGCCACTTGAGAGACAGCCGTTTTATACATAGTGAACAAATAGGCAAAAATAGTTTAAAAAGATTAGCTGGTGGTTCACTACCGTCATCTTTTACATCATCGTGAGCGTTCATAGATACCACAGGAAACCTCCTTACTAATAGTTGGATTTGATTTGATATCTGTCGAAAGTACTTTGTACCCAATAGTATGCATGTCTTTTACTTACTATTAGTCATAAGTAATATTTATGCAAAACAAAAGTACCGGCTTTACATTATTGCAATTTCGTTTCTTTTAAGTATTGTGCTTTGTTTACAATATTATGCGTCACACAAGCTTATATTGTTACACATCTCGCAGCGAGCAATATAATCACAGCCACAGTTCAAAATGTGGAGTTGCTTTGGGAAAGAGAAATGGTGAGCGAAGGTCCCATGGCGAGCATTGAAAGTCGGGTGAGTACAAATGTATAACTTTTTTAGTGCTCATGCTTAAAACCCTTAGATCTTCCGAGATCTTTGAAGAGATTAAAAAAATATTTTGGAGTGAGGCTGTCACCTTTTTAAATAGTTACAAATACGTTTATTTAAAAAAATGCATGATTATTTAATATCATAATGTGGGTATCACAGGGAAGGTGTTTGAACAAGCTTTAACACTAACATTTCCTTGAGTAGGGTTGGCTATCTATCAACTAAGGTCATCATTGTTATTATTTAACTTCTATTATTTAAATAAAAATAAAGATACGAATGTAATTGAAAAATTTTAAGTGGTCAAATTTTATGTCAAAGTGTTTTTGTGGACTTTAAGAATTCTTTTAAAATTCTACCTGTAATTAGCCTGCAAATTGCCACATTCACAGTATCTAGGGCCTACCACGAAGAGGTTACAGGAATAAAACACCCTACTTTTTATTTAGTTTTTACTTTTTCTTTTTAATAATTTATTTACGGAAGAAAAACTCAATAACTTAAAAAAAATCAAAAATGCTTTCATTATTTCATTTTTTTTTTTGTTTTTTGTTTCCTAGAGCTATTTTAACATCTGCAATTAGATTAGTTTTGTCAAAAGAGGCAAAACTAGTTAATCTTCATCATTGTATCAATCTTGTGTAAATAGAAACTTTGACATTTTAATAGAGTGTTTCAGATGAATTATTTGGAAAAAATTGTAAGTAATTTTTTTGTCAAAAAGTGTCGCCCTGGGTTTAAATGGTTGTAAATTAAATAATATGTAAAAAGTATGCGCAACAAATAAGTAAAAACAGGAACTTTTTGCAAAAATTAATGTACTACAAAATATGCAAAAATATGCAATAACGATTGAATTCCATTTTAAAAGCAGTGCCATGATTCGTAACTTTATAATTTCCATTTGAAGATGCCCAATAAGAGTCAAATTCACAGTGAAGTTAACTCAGAATCATGCATTTGAATCGTGTTTTAAAACAAAAAATAATAGTCAATATATTTTCTTACAGACATTTTTGTAAGACTTATTGTTTATTGAAACAAATTCAATAGCTAGATCTACAGTTTTAGATTTCATTTATAAATTTATCAAATTTTTATACATAAATAAAGCTTACAGCACTATTATATATCTCAAACGAAAGGCAGCACGAACGACTCGTCCGAAGAGGAATGCTTCAAAAATTAGTCCGACGGCATCATGCTAGCCGGTGTAAAGGTAACCGAGACGATCGCAACGTAATCGATGTAAAGCAAGACGAAGATGACCGATAAAGTAATAAAATCACAATCAGAGGCGTCGTTGGTTTTTGGCTACTTTTTCACCATGTAACGGAAGTATTCAGAAAGGAGAAAAAACTATATTTAATACGTGCGCCAGATATTTATTTTTCGGCTTCTCCCGAACTAAGACTTCTTTACCCGTTTTTATTTCCTTACATACTACAGAAATTTTTATTACTATTAAAATGAAGATTAGCTTAAGAACCCTCTTAGTATTCGACCTCCTGTTCATGCTCGTCCTCGGGCACGAATTTTAAAGTTTGCTAAATTCGAGCTATGCCGAACTGCTATAGGGTATTGAAGAGAAAAGCGAAACGTATTTGCCGCAATAGTTAAGAAGAGAGATACCGAAATACGTGAGCTGGAAATACGTTCTGACAGGCAAAACGCCCTAAAATTTGAACAGAGATTTATACCATGTCCCCACCGGAGCTAGCCACGTATTTATGGCGGTTGAGTTTTTTATCCCGATAACCCACTTGATTTAGCGTAGTTTCGCCATATAAAAATGACAGCACTTAACCATTTCACTGAGATGGTTAAAAGCTAACCAACTCGAAACCACGTCGAAAGTTTGATACAACCCTGTATTTTTCCGCCATCTGTGGGTCATTAGCGTTAAAATTAGAGCGTTTCAGCACGTCTACGATTTGCAGGTTTTGCAGGATTTAGTCCAAAGTCGTTCCCGTAGGCCAATTCTGTATCTGGGAACACGCTCCTGAGAGTAACTGAGCAACTGTTCCCAGAATGAAGTTTCAAGAATTAGTCCGGAGTTTTTCTTCTGCCAAATTCATGAAAAGTGTCAAACGATAGGTAGAGTTGCATTTGTGTACAAAAACAGAAAGCGGTGAAAGCAAATAACCTTACATTTGTTAAAAAATGGAAGTAAATAATGAAATATTTGAATATATATGCAATTATTATTAATTATATAGATTTTAATAGTTATTTAGTGGTCTTTCAGCCAAATCAGTATTGTACTAATGACAAGTAAACAAACCAAATGACGTTTCAGCTGGAAAAGTGCTTTTTGCGTTCCCGTACACTTCTGCATCTGTTCTCCTGTTACTCTCACTAGAGAGAGTAAAATTGTAGTTTGACGTTTCCACAGGTTTTAGTCCGAAAAGTACTGGAACAAACTAAATGTTAAAAAATTCGTTCCCTACTAGTGTTTGGGTTTAACTAAGATCAGATTAGATTTACTCCGGTTTTTGAAAAAATTTGAAATCTACTCTATTCATTTTTTTCATTCATGTTATGCCTTCTTGGGGCCGTGTTTTCAGTGATCACTACCGGTTTCAGTCAAAAAATTGAAAGTTAGAAAATCTCACTGTTAAAAAGTTGTTTTTCATAGCAATGCGTCAATTAAGTATCTTCGTTACTTATTGATGTATGGCCGTAGAAATTGGCGGATGCAGAACTTTACTTAAGTTGTTAAAAAATATATGTAGGATGGAATTTATATAAAGTAGAAGAGGTTTAGATACTGTTATTCGTCAGTGCTGAGATCTCAGGATCCACCACTGGGATTAATTTTTGCCCTTCGAGAGCGGGATTGATCAGTAGTCTGCGAAAGTATCATTACAGGCATTTGTCACAAAGTTTACCGCTTAATGAATTTTTGACAATGGGTCCAGCTCAGCGGAAGAAACAACCTTTATGTGTGATAGAATCGCTTGATCAGGTCTTAACGATATCCTTATAGAGTGTATTTTTAAATTTTTCTCAGCCGGTTTGTTTCTTTTACTGTGTATGCTGTTAAAGTTCCAGGATCACGAGTGTACTTAAAACTTATGTAAAGATAGTCAGATAATAAGTGCTTTGTAGACACCTGCCAATCTCATTGTTGACCTTTGACCTTGAATAATTTTTGTTAGCACCACTAGTATGATTGGGGAATTTTTTTGCAATTGTATTTCTAAGACCTGTGCCGTTACTAATGTCATTGCTATTATTTAACACTTCCATACCATTGCTATTGCAATTAGCATTACTAACATGTATTATCGTAATATAAAATGATTTTTTGTCCCTTACATTCAATAAGTGCCGGGTGCTCAAAGCCTGGTTGACACTAATCATCAGTTAACATCGTTATCGTCGTTTTCGACTCCATACATATAACACGGTGTCGGTAACGTCGATAATGATGTGTAACCGGCGACTAGTGTCAACCAGGCTTTGAGCAACCGGCCATAACCAGATCGGACTCTAAAAAAAAATTCTGTGTGGTAGAATCTGGAAAAAATGTGGTAGATCTCAAAAAAATGTGGTATATCTTTGGGTTTGGATCAAACTTTGTACAAAAATTAAAAAAAATCTGCAAGGTTTCACCCAAATGGCAAACTTTTTAATTAGACTCTAAAAAAATTTTATTTTAGTATAATAAAGTGCAAGATTGAAGTTACTAAAAAGTGCGTTGTGTTTTGGAAATTGTTTTCCTTGACAGTGTAAAGCAGTTCCTTCCATATTAAGATATTTTTCGAACATATTTTAAGAGATTTCTGCAACCTTGCGGAGTGCGAACAAATGTGGCACGTTCCAGAAACAGCTAATTGGGATGCCAATTTTTACAATTTTCAAGTAAAAGTAAACAACGCCTCAGAAAACTTTCATGCACTTAAATTTGCTAATACTTTCACAAAAATCGCCGTTAATTAACATTTTCGTTATTAATTCTTTTTATAAATCATCTATTTTGCAATTTAACATAATAAAAAAAAAAACAAAAATAAAACTACTCAAAAACGCGAATATGTGGTAGATTTCAGACCTTGAGTGGTAGGTGTGGTAGATGCCCATAAAGTGGCAGATCTACCACAATGTGGTAGAACTCCGATCACTGGCCCTAACTCCTGTTTAAGTATTACCGTATTGATTATTTTTACTTCCTCATTTTTAGTTTCACTGCTGTGGCCTACATAACTACAGCGACTACACCTCTACGAATTTGCCTTTGCCGGCTAGTTGCTTTTATACGGAAAACGATGCCTGGATTTATTATACTGATGGCTGTTTGGAGAAAGTAAAATTTGCTGCTGGTAGAGCAAGTGATGCATTGTCCATTGCTGGCTTTCTGCTTACTGCGACACAGGTAAATACATACGGTGGCGAAAATGTTAATAGGGAAGAGACATTTTAGCAAGATTGGGCTATTTTTCTTTGTTGAAAAAATTATTATTATTTGCTTTTGAAAATATAGTAGCTTGCTATCTAAAAAAACACGTAAATCAAAATTTCGAACTTTGAAGAACAGCCAGTTCGAAAACAGCATATCTCAAAAAAACTTTTCAAAAACGTCCTATACCAGAATTTGGTTGATAAACGCCTTATTTCAGATAGGTCGATCTTCCACTCAGCAGCCGATTTGTAAAGATTCAACGAATTTAAAAACAAAGTTTCTTCAAAATTTTAAAATTTTTAATCAACTTTTCTAGATTTTTTTTATTATGCAGTTTTGTAGCGCATTGAATTTTAGTGCAATAAATTGACAAAAATCAACGGTAAGTCGCAGTACTTCAAACTTGCACTTTGTTATACCAAAATTGAATCGGCTGTTTCTAAGAAATCAAATTAAAAAGCTCGAAGTTTTGGTGAAACTTTAACGAATTTTACGATAAACAGGGTTCCATTGGATTCTTGGAAATATATAGTGGCCCTGGAACTGAAAATATCCTTAAACTTTTTGAATCGATTTGCATAGTGAAGACCAGTAAATTAGGTATTTAAAATTATACCATCGTAATCCTTGTTTAATTCTCTATAATAAAAGTGATTCAAAAAACATGGGCGTTTTTCAAGAATTATTTTTTAAATATTTTTCTTTATGACGAGATGGTTTATTTTGTGAGAATTAACAATTTTTTGTAATTTGTTTTCGAAAACTTATGTTGAGATATAGTTAGTTAAACAGTGTTAAATTAAATTTTGAAATTGTATCTATTATTATAAACTCCTGAAAAATATTAGTAGATACCGGCCATATGTGTACTACACACATCGTTACCTTAATACAGAAAGTCCCTATCTAAATATTTTTTTTCTTTACCGAGTGGTGAAAAACCTGCATACAAAATCAAGTCCCTTTTGCTGCGAATTTCTTTTAGAGGCTGTTTATTTAAGAATGTAGCTAATTTTATGCTTAGTAGACATTTTTAAAATCCAGTAGGTGTTTGGTGAGTTGTCGGCAGACTTTTGTATAATAAATTATTATTATTGAGTAAGGGCTTTTTTATATTAAGGTAACGATATGTATTTACACTGAACATCGTGCATTGTGGACGTTGGTTTTATCCGAAAAATACTGGATTTTTTCTCAAATATTTTTATTTTATTTTTTCAGGTGATGGCCTTAATATTTTCATCCGCTCTCACTTTAGCGTATTATCGAACTGGAGAGTACGAAGAGTTGTAGTAAAAAGCGAAATTTTAGGTAGACATAGAATATTGTCTTTACATCACCTAAAAACTTGCAGATTAAGCACTTCTAAATCTTGATATTTTTCTATCAAAAATAATTTATTAAAAATTAGCGTATACAAATTAATAATGTTAAATGTTTTCGTATGATTTCTTTTTAGCTATGATATGAGTTTACAATATGTGTATAAGTATTTATGTACATTGTATGTGTATGTACATAAAACAGTATTAGTAGTTTACAACTACTTACCTAAAATTTCTATTTCTAATTTTAAACATAAAATTTCAGATACTGCGAAATTAAAAATTAAATATGAATTTTTGCAATAGTACTTCTTTTAGCACTTTCATTAATTGGAGAGCAAATGGGAGCGCGAGTTGACATGGTTGAAGTGCGGCCCAGGTTGTTGAGCCTCATAGTCATCCTCTTCATTGCCTGTTCGATATGTTGCGCGATGACGTCTGAAAAGCAAAATGCTCAGAACGCACGAGTAGAGAAAGACAGCGCACTTTAAAAAAAAATGTGGAGAAAGATATTTTTAATACCAATATTAATGCATAAATATGCATATAGGTATATTTCCATATGTATTCTAAGTATTTACTTCAGTGATCAGTAGGGACCAATTGAAAACATTTTCTCGCTCCATGGTCTTATGGTACGTCGTTTCCAGCGCTTCAACACACCCGCGAGTAAATAAATTCGATTCAAGCGTAGCATTTTGGTAGCGATAACAGCTTACGGGCGTTGACATACGTATGTACCGGTAGTCATTGGCATTATATAGGCCACAGCAGTGATACTGGTGATGATAACAACGATTTAGTTCAGTTAAAATTAAATTAAATATGAGATGAACTAAAATAAAATAGGGTGTAACTAAATAAAACAAAATTAAATTAGATAAGTGTTAGTAAAAAGAATAGAAAGAAAGCATGTAAAATAATATAAAAATACTGATTTAAGTTAAATGCCGGTTGTTCATACATATTTATGTACTCTATTACTATTTTTTTTTGCTACCCTAATATGGGATGCGAAAGTGGTAGTTGTCTAATTTTACCCATTTTCAATGGCCTTATTGCCGTTTTCACGAAAGCAATTAAGTGAAAAATGATTTCTTTTTCTGCTAGTTTCCATATAAAATTCAAATAAAAAAAAACCATTTCCACTTAAATTGCTTTCGTGAAACTGGCTTTTATTGTTAGTCTAATAAAAGCATACTAAAAAAGTCTCAATTATGTACGAGTATACTTCAGTTATTTATTATAGAACCATCCGGACCCGACGGACTGTGTTCTATTTTAGAAAAAAAGACAAAATCAAATATGTATCTGGAGAACGAGAAGAGATAGTCGAAGGTCGGTTTTGGTAATTTTCATTCATTTCAAAATGATCAAAAAATCAACAAAAACTGTTAGTTTTTTGAGTTGTACTTAACTTAATGTTCAGGCAGTTGTTTTTAAAATTTATTAGATTTTTAGTAAGTAATCTAGTGACTTTATCAATCATTTATTTCAGACATATACTGCCGGGAAAAAGTATTGGCACACAGAATTTTTTACAGTATATACAACAACTTTTATTTAAATTTTTCCTGCTACAAAATTAGTTTATACTACAAAAAAAACATTAGAACATAATTTTTGAACTTTATGAAAAAATCAGTAAATTTCAATAAATTTTCGTGCAAGTTTTTTAGAATTTTTGTGAGTCTGCAGCTTTGTAGCCCAATAAATTGTATTATAGTTGTTATAGTGCAAGTTCAATGTACCTAAGACTTAACGTAGATTTTTGGCAATTTATTTTCATGCAGTTTCTTCCATACAAAAAAAAAACATTTCAAACATTTTTTGTTTGGAAAAAATGCGAAACACCTCTAACAAAAAAAAAAATCTCAAAAATCAACGCGATTTTTGACTATCTTCAAACTCGCATTTTCTATACCTAAATGAGCTACAAAACTGCACACTCAAAGAAATTCTAAAAAAATCGGATTAAAAAGTTGAAAATTTGCATGAAATTTTATTTAACTTTCCCGAGTTTTGCACAAAGTAGAACGAATAATATTTTTTATAAAAAATTGGAGAAAAAATTAGAATAAATATTGTTGCATATATTCTAAAAAAATCTCCGTGCCAATACTTTTTTCGGACAGTGTACTTTAACAAAACAAAAATATATTAAAACCTGGGCCCAAATTTTCAGTGCATGTTTAAACTTAGATCAGGTGAATTGCGTTCATAACAGCTGGCTGACATTTAATTCGCTAATCTTAGTTTAAGCCAGCTAGCTCGAGCGTTTAAACTAAGCTAAACCGCAGTCAGATTTAAACATTTACTTAAATTAAGTAAGTCATCTTAACAAAGAATAAAAAAAACATTACTTCACTTCACTTACATTTACCTCCACCGAGTGCATTGTCTCTGGATCTACACCAACTTCATCCCATGCGTCCTCCAGCAGATCCAGCGCATTCGTGAAGAACTTCTGATGTTTATACGTCTGCATTTGCAGCAATTGTGCTGCCAACAACATCAGCATGAAGAACGAGTACTTTGAGGTGTAAATTTTTTGCAAATAAAAAGGTGAGTATGTAAGTAAATAAACAAAAACTCAAGCAAAACAGAACACAATAACTCACAATTACACTGACGCCTAACGACTCGCAGACAACACCATAACAGCCAAAAAGCGTGGCCATGCATACAAAAGAGCCCAAAATGATACCAACTATACAGTAGGTGTGCTCGTCCGTATTCGGTATGGCATACTCCAAGCCGAAAGTGTTCAAACAAACAATACAAATGCCAAGTATCTGTGCAAAGGGGTGAAATAAATAATAGCAATATTAGCGCAAATGGCAAATAAATAAACAAACAATAATAATAATATTAAATATTTAGGTCAATCAGTCAGTAACACGACAAGTGCTAATTTTAATGCCGCTAGTGGGTGTAGTTGTCGATAATAAAAGCAAACAGTTTTGTTTTTTTGCATGGCATTTTTTTATTATATTTTGTCTTATGTGCTTACCAAACTAAAAAAATTAAAAGCGAATACAAAACACTTGACAGTCGAAAGGATTACACTCATTTTATATGTTTTAGTTTAACGTCTCACTTAGCCGGTGATTTAGTTAAAAAAATATTTATTTAAATATTAATATTTATTGTCTAGCTATGCAAACGATTTGTTTCCTTACACACCAAAGTCGTAACTGAAGTCGATGTCAGAAAATTGTATGTAAAATAAATATTAACATTGCTTGTCAATGAAACAGGGCGATATTTTTTCTCTATTATTCAGTTATTCTATTTTTGGTATTACACCCAACAAACATTATAACGAAGAAGAATGCAAGATGTACCCGGATTAGCCGGGGTCTAACCGGTTGTCCAAGAAACAAGCTCGTTGAGGTCCCCTGGTCGCTTTCTGGATACACTTGAGGTGTGGACAAAGATCCTTACTCGTGGCTTACAAAGTGTTTGGCCGGTCGCTGGAAAACTACACTACGCTAATGTGCACTGAAGGGACCAGCATATTATGGACCTCGACAAAATAAGCAAACCGCAGCTGAACCTACGGATGCCGACTATCATTTCATGCCCTCGGAACATCGGCTCCGCGGCGAAATGGAAATGCGAAATACCCAGCACGTTGTTTTCGAAGCAGTCCCTCTTAGGATGCCACCGGTATGATATTAAGCCATTCTCGAAGAAACAACACAACAGAGCATATAGATATAGTGCGTTGGAGGCACCTCAATAGCTAATACGACATCAGCCACATATTTGCATGTCCGTCTCACTTGACCATCCTGACGCCCGAAGCCTTGTGGTCAGCACCCATCAGCGCAGCGCAGTTCTTAGGCCTCATGCTCCCCAAGTGGGATAAAAAAGATGTCAGTCTCCACTAGTCTGAGTTTTGACGCGTGAGGTTGTGTGAGTATCATGCAAGAACCCCAACTACTAATCAGCACATTGCTCTATGAACTCATATGTAGTATACAAAAGGGTTTTAGCGTTTTAAATTTTTAGAAAGATGTTGGTTGTACCGAAATAAATTAGTGCATTTCACAAAGTATTTGCGTTTGGTTTAAATGCTTTATCTTTCTAGGGTCTGAGAGAGCTTATTGAGAAATGTTGGCCAGTCACATTGAGTGATGATAGACTTGCGCATCAGACATCTCGTTTTCATCCATTTCGTTATGACCTTATGACGGCAGATATTTGGTCATTTGTCTGTGGGGTATTTTAGTTCTGCTCTGTGGCACACAGAGCTGCAGACTCTGTTGGAACGAGTGTTAAAGTGCAAGTTGCAAACATAACACAACAGCTGCAACGACCCCAGTTATTTTGATACCATCTGTAAAGAAAATGAGCGAATCCACTAAGTGTCATCGTCAATTTCACCTAACGGTAGATTTAGGAGATAAACAGTTTCGACAGGATAGAACTATCAAAAGAGGAGGGTTACATGAATTGGTCTAAATGGTCATTTGGCATGGACGTCTGTGGTGTATGTCCTGATGCATTCTGGATGTGCAGGATTTTAGCCTGCTATAATATTAAGATCATAACACGAGCTCTTCGTCGTTGGTCTCCGGAGATGGCACTCACGATGAGATGAGGACCAGCATTATATATAGTCAACGTACTATAGGTGGCATCAGGAAATAACATCCTGTGACAAGTTTATGTGCCGTATTCTGACAGATCTGAAACATCGTCCACTGCGCCCTACTTCTCTTCGGCAACCACACAGAGACAGTACAGATGTACATGCATCTCTTTCTATTTATCATTGCTTGAAGCCGTTTCTCCAAATTGGTTTCGGTAACAATCATTTAGTCTCGTTAAATGTCTTAGCTCTCCTGTAACATTTAGTCTTAAAATCCGACCAGTGCATGGCTAATAATTCCGTAGGATACAGGCCCCAAAATGTATTGCATTTGAGGAAGTTATTAACTAAGAGACTAGATTTGGAGTATTAAACCTCATATAACTGCGAGGTTGATGCAGTGGGATATATTAGGACATAAGCCATATGCCTGAGCATTGTATACGTATAAGTAGTTAGTAGCATTCGACCTCCCGGTACGTTTCCTGTACTCGTACTTATTTAGTTAAGAAGGAACGTAAAGCAGTGGCTTGTATTTCTAGCAGAATAAAACTAAGTCTCTTTTGTCCGGATTTTTCTTAATGTCCCCATAAGTATATCGCTCATTGAGTACAGACATCTTCTTGTAAAGGTGATGGCTAAATCGTTTACCCGTGCGCCCATATTTTGGCTTATTGGGCATTTTGTTGTATAAAAATATTGCTATAAGTAGTACCTTTTCGTATCAATTTGCGCATGTTAATGAACTTCGTTAGTGATAACAGCCGTATGTATTAATATTCAATGCACTAACACACATAATTATACATACTAACTCAAGAGATTCTGAACGCAGACCTTTGGCTATTAAGCTAAGCGTTCAGTGCTCATTTGCATTTACGCTAACACTTCGAATAATTGTTAGGAGTGTACGTGAAGGGACAGCGATTATGTGCATATGGAAATTGTGTACCTCTTATATGTATATAAAAATACCATGTGTTTCTGTTGGTATGACTTTTATAGACTGCAGAACTACTGACCCGAATGAGTTCAAATAAGTGTTGGGGCAAGGTTAATCTGATTAACGATTAAAGTTTTAATTGCGATAAATTATTAAATATAATTAATGGAACCTGGTCGGTTACTTCATCAATCGTTGTCACCAAGATTAACTAACGGTAGGCCCAAGAAAGGAGCTGTTTCGACGAGGTCGGACCAAAGGGTGTTGTTTGAGTTAGACTGAGCTAAAATGTGAAGAGGTGTTGAGTGTCGTGGGTAGGTTCCACATGCTGGACACTAATTGGGGATATCGGGGTCGAGTCTTTATAAATGTCTGTTGAGACGACTACAATATTCTGACCGTAATTGGGCCAGAGTAGCGCGGATTTCTCGTAGTAGTCGAAGCTCAGAGTCTGCCATAGGTGGAGATTGGACTCCGATTGCGCAGTAAATAGATCGTGAGTCGTGGTAGGTAGTGACCGATTCTTTATGAATGCCGTTGAACACTTCATGCACAAGGAAAGATTCCTTCCTTCGTCCAGGTGATGAAGAGGTTCGCCGTTGATTTCGTTGGTGAGAGGGTTGGGCTCCTTGGAGTGAAGAAGCGAGATAGGTCGGGGAGGTAGAGGTTTACTTTCGAGCAGAGGTCATCAATTCAATTTTCAGACGCCAATATCGAACAGTCCTCAGCGTATGAGATCAGGGAAATTCCCCACAGTGGCAGAAGAAGCTTCAAGGTATGGAAGTTAAACAGTACGGGGGAGGACAAAACCCTGTGGAGCCCCTTGCTTAATTCTTCTAGGTTTTAAATTTTGAAATTAATGTCGTTCGACAATTCGAGAGCAAATTTGAATAATGTCTTTGCGCAAACTGCCTGGTAAATATTTATTGGTCCAAGAGCGAAAGTTTATATTGAATTTACACGTGAAGGATCAAAAGTCATATTCGGAAATGGCCAAGCTCACGTCCTCCAGCCGCTTAACTGTCCAATTCATAATAAGGCGCTTTAAAAATGAGGGCAGCCTACAGTACTCATGCATGGAGATTGACTACAAATAAAACGTATGGTGTCTGAGCGAGGATCCATTCATTAGTGTAGCAAAAATTAGTGCAACACTTCTTCAATCCAAACAAAAAGAAGTTCATCCTGAAACTATGTATATGAGAAGCAGTGCATGATGTCGGGTTTGAAAATTATCCTGATAGGTGGTGCTTGAGTGTAGATATCTCTAAAAACCGTATTTGCAGTTATTTAAAATCCGATTTGACTCTAATTGAGGACTATATTAGCTACGTGCATAAATAGCAATACTTTTTCCGATAAGTGTCACTGGAGTCAGGGGCATGTCTATAATTGGTTGTTGTTGTTGTAGCAGCATACAAGTTCCCCAAAGGGTTTTTGGGGAGTGTTGCTGGAGTGATAGTCCTTGGCCAGATATAAATCTGGGTCGTTCCGGTTACGTAGACCCGACTGTCGTGGGAACGGTCTATAATTGGTAAATACGGTTGATGCTAATTTAGAACTACATATGTAGCAATTTTTCAAAAAACCATAGGTTCTGTTTGCCGGCACCGTCAGTAATTCCACATGAAAGGCCAACTGGTGAACTAAACGCATGGCTAAATTCTTCCATAATTTGTAGACTTATTAATATTTTAAAAACCTGAATGTGCTTAATTTTAAAACCAATTAAATAGCACGAGTAGCGTGGGGTGACCAAAATATTGATGTTTATTCCTTTAAAAAAGTTTTTCAGAACTTAATCGAGTACAAAATAGTTGCTAATACTATAATGAAAGGCTAAGCTGTCATACTATTTCCACTGAACGTTTAAATTCACTAGAAGCGCCAAAAACTCGAACGAGCCGACCGACAAAAGAAAATTAAATAATTTAATTGAAACGATTGTTATTCCTTAGAAATATAAAGGTGAAGGTTTACTCCTGCATGGCGCATATTTTACACATTGGCTATGTTCACGTGTTGGCAACCCATCGATTTATTGATTTACACGCCAGATGGGCAAAAATAGCAAAATATATCGCCTCTTCATAAGCATTGCAATATGTTTCTTATATGTATTGAGATATAAATTTTTTTTTTTTAGTTAGAACTGCATCTTTACATTTGTAGGGTGTAGCCATGATACAAAAATCTATAAATATTTGAATCATGGAGTGCTGCGAAGCGCGCCAGGCATGCTAGTGTAAACATAATTTCGGTTTCGCTTAAATACTTAATTGCATTTTATCCCGAATGTGAGTCTGTGCATAATTTCACCACCGTAATTCGTCGAATATACGTTTTCTCGTATACTTAATTCATTCCACAGCAAAACGAAATGCTTGTGATTATAAATAAGCAAGTGATTCAAAATTATTTAATACATCTAATTACGCGTGCTCCTGTAAAAGATAATATAAAAAATCCATTGTTATTTTCGTGTTTAATTGGCAAAAGAAGAATTTATTTAATTTTAAAGCAGCAGTAAGCTGTTCGTAAATAGCAGCATTAGCAGTTGACAACTTCAATTTGATTTAGTAGCATTAAGCATTGAGTTAACTAACAAGTTTAGCAAGAGAATTTGATTACCTTCTATATTTTAATAAAACTTATCAACTTAATTATATCTAAATATTTTTTGCACGTACTTTCAGTACGCTTCTTAATGTAAACGCTTTTTTGTTCTACAAAATTTCATTAAAAATAGTGTTAAAATAAATAGTATAGTTTAGTAAATATTTACTACTACTCTAGTCGAACAGGTATTTAGATATAAATAGGTATGTATATCTGTGTATATTGTGGGTAAAAGTACTGATTATGTTTATTGGTGGTTATTGTTGTTGATGTTGTTTCCTTTTTGTTTGCGGTGTTGGTTCTTGGTGGCTGGTATTTCGGTCTCAGTGCTGGACGTAAGAACTAAAGATTTTTTTTCTACAAATTTTCAAATAACAAAAAAATATCACAAGTACACTTCGCAAGTGTTCATTCACTTCGTGTTTTTCGCTTGTCTCCATGAATTGATGCGTCTTCTCTTCTAACATGATGCTTATCTTAATTTTATCGTAATTGTTTTTAATTTAATTGGCATTTCTAATTGCTTCTGTAAAAAAAATTCGCGCTTTATAATCTTTTGTGATCGCGCGGTTTTGTGAGTGATTTTCTGTAAAACATTTTTAAATTCTCCATGGCAGTGGTATGAGACCCCACTTCTGCGTGATGTCTTTATAATCACATTCAATGGCAACAACGATTTTCTCCACCTTTTCGGTGCGTGGCATTTTGGTTGCTTTCAAGGTGAGGCAAAGTTTTGAATCGCGGTGCGAAATATGCTGAGTCTACAAAAGGGATAACAGTCAAAAGGGTGTGCAAAATTAACAATGCATGCAATAGTAAATTAATATCAAATTTGGCTACTCACATCCATGTCGTAGATCCAATACTGCCGCGGATGATCTAAGCACATGGTCAATTGCACATTTGAAGTTAAGTTGCGGCTCTTAAGCTGCTGTATAACTCCTAACTTCGGCTCTCTGTACGTCAGACACACATTATCATTAGTCATGATTTGTCCTTTCGGTGTAACGACATACATATCCATAGACTTGGGATGCGCATTGCAATCGCGAACTGTAGCCGTTTGCAATGCAGTATGCGGCAAATCCTTATCCGTCGGCAGCAAACACTTGTCGCGATCCAAATCGATTAGCGACATAAATTGTTCACCATTGCTTTCGATTTCTTTAAAAATTCGCGGCCACTCGCGCGACAACCGACGTCCTGGTAAATTTTTCATGTGTTTCGTGTATGCCTGCGCACACTCAGTCTCGCCATCTAGCCAAATAATTTTGCCAAAGAAACGATCGGGTGTTGGGAAGAAATGTTCCGGCCATATATTCTCTAAATACCAGGAAAATGGTTTGCATTGGAGTTTCTCGCGCAGGGAGAGGCGATCGCTGACATCAATCCGTTCACGTGTCTCCAAAGAGAGACCGGATGTGTACAAGAGTATAAAATATTGCCAGTCGTCCATCCAAGTCATAGCGGCGCGCGCTAAATTATTTCCCAACACTTCGCTCATGCCGCCTGGGAAGGTGTACGGTGTAGTGCTGCGGAAAACATGGCCTACGTGCGAACAGGGACAGATTTCGACACGACCTCCACATTGCCACACGCGGAAAGACATCTCAACATTTTCGCCGCCCCAAATCTGTAATTGTAGTAGATGACGTTTAATAAATCTTTCTCACAACAATTACTCCTTTAATTCCAATTTTCAAGCACATCCGTACCTTCATCTCTTTGTCGTATGAGCCAATTTCAAAGAAATAGCTCTTGTCGATTGCAAATAGTCCACCAGCCATGGCCGGTGACGCGATCGGCTCAGTGCGGTCACTCTTTGGCGTTGCTCTGTTGCGTCTGGTGCTGTACCATCTAAAACTGAGCTGCCAATTAAAAGCACCCCAATGATTTTCAAATGTTTTTGTATAACTAAAATTATCATCGGAAATTATATCGATAACCGGCGCTACCACATTGGTGCGCGACTCCTTCACACGCTGCAGCAATGGCTCTAACCAGCCGCGCGTGCACTCGCAGTGCGCATCCAAAAAGGTCAAAACGTCGCCCTTAGCATGCTCGGCGCCCAATAAGCGCGCTGGCACTAAGCCGCCGCGTTTCTGTATGCGCAGCAAACGTGTTGGCACCGTAAGTACTTTAATATAGGCTTCGAGTTGCTTCTTCAGGTAAGCTATAGAACAATAATACATATACAAGTTAGTAAAACAAAAAAGCTTTGAAAGGTTATGTGTTAAATGTGTTAATTACTGCATTTTGACAACGGCTATGAAATTAATTAAAGATATGCAAACTACAAAGATGCATAGCTATTTAAAGTTATTTATCTTGTCAGTTTACTTACAGCGATCGCTAGCATCGTCAACAAGAATTATTTCTTTGATCATTTTACGCGGCGACCGGTTGATAACGCTGGTTATTGTGCGCAAGAGCACCGACCAGGCCTCATTATGAAAAACTATTATCACTGATGTTGTGGGTAGTTCGTTGTGGTCATACCTTTTGTCACGACACCTGTAGCAAAATAAAAACAAAAATATATATACATAAGCCAATTAAGCGTACGCGCTAACACAAATATTTTGTGATGTTTTTCTTTTGATGATTTTATGCCTAGTCAGAATTTCAGGGTCACTGCAATACTAAACATTTGAGTGTGGGCTATTTTTTATACGTTTTTTTCCGTTTTTTGGTGCATTTTTTGGGCAATGGAGTTGATGATCTTAATGTTTTAGTTTGTTTCGTACTAAGCTTGATTTTCTATGGTCAGTGGTTTGTTGTGCACTTACTCTTTTATTCTGTAATCTTTTAACGTACGATTCAAGGGTATACGGTCACTGGCCAGTATATTAAAGCTATTTAGCTTGAAAAATCGTTGCATGCGGAAGCTATCGCGCGCTGGCACTACAACTGGCCGTCCATCAGCACCTTCGCCTTCAATGGGATTGAATAGGTTTATGTTGTAGTCATCTGAAAGAATTTTAGATATTAAAAAAAAAACGAGTTATACGCATAAGTTATTATGCACACCTCAAATACATATGTGTATACATACAGATGCGATCAACTAATTAGCTACGAAATTCAAAATGATATTGTCTGCAAATTATGTTTATTTATTTTTAGCAATTTTCATATAAATAAAATACTCTATAACAGGAACTACAATAATAGTTTAAAAGCTTACACAAATTGCAAAAAAATTTATCAAATTTCAAAAAATCGTCATCAAAATTTCAAAATGTTTAATCAGAATATTAAGAAAATTTTCGGGTATGCAGTTTTGGAGCCCATTCAATTGTAGTATAAGGGCTAGTTTTTAGTCATTAAAAATTACAGATGATTTTTTAGAATTTTTGCAGATTTTTTGTTTTGTTGAGGGTATTGCTGTTTATTTCCATATAAAAAATGTTGATCATGTGTTATATGGAAGAAAATGCGCAACACCCTCCACAAAAAAATTTAAAAAAATCAACGGTAATTTTTAACGACTAGAGACTTGCACTTTCTTATACTACAATTGAATGGGCTACAAAACTGCATACCCGAAAATTTTCTAAATATTCTAGTTAACAATTTTTTGAAGTTTGATTATCTTTTTTTTTGCAATTTTTGCAAGCTTTTGAACCTTTATTATTGTAGTTCCTGTTATAGATAGAGTATTTTATTTATATGAAAATTGATAAAAATAAATAAACATAATTTGCAGACAATATCGTTTTGAATTTCGTTGCTAATTAGTTGATCGCATCTGTACATATACTAAAAGTCAAGACACTAAAAACAACGTATCTAAAAGCTATTGACTACATAAACATTTTTTTTTTTCAAATTGTTTTTATGTTATTTACCTGCGGTTAAATTGGCAAATATATCACCTTTACCAATGTAGTGTGCAACTATGTTTTTTGCTTGCCAGAGTGAACGACGGTGGGGCTGAGGCTTTGGATGGCTAAGCGTTGCGAATGATGATTGCGAACGCGTACGATAGCGATAAATGGAGTAAAAAAGAAGCAATAAAGTTTTCATAGAATTGGTAAGTAGAGGAACTTAATAACATAGTAAAGGCGCTCAACTGTGATGGTCGATTGCCACACAGCGCAGAAGTGGTAAGAAGCATAGTTTAATGGCACAATCGTTGCCAAAAATTGTTGATGTAACGGTTTCAGTCAATAAGCCACAAATGCTAGCGTTTACCACTTTTGTGCGCCAAATATAGCATGCGGTTCACTTTTTAAAATTACATATTTTTATAATGAATCACATACTTTCATATGTACATAGATATCTATGTATGGCTATGTACTCGTATGTAGGAACTTACACATTATCCTGCTGAAATCCTTGTATACTGGACACATATAGATTGATACTTAGTGCAAACATGAAAAATGCGAAGAATAGCAGGAACAGGTAGAGCAGCCATAGCTTTTTCAATTGCTGAAATCTCAATCCCATTGTTATTTATGATTTTCTATTCTTGTTGACGCCACTAATTTATATGCTAATCTGGTGTTTGTTGTTATTATAGTAGTACTGACTACCGCCAGCGCGACGACTATGTAAAGAGTTGCTTTAGCGGTTTATTTGCCTAGCGCTGCGCGATACTCTGTTGATTACCACTGTTGCTTGGTCAATTCGTGAATGAGCTCCATACGCTGTAAGCAACTTGATTTTGTTTTGATTACAACAATCCAACTCCGGTAGTGGCAGTGGGGGCTATTGGTGCTGGTTTGGTTGTTGGTGCGGTGGACGGCTTGTGCTTGGGTGTTAAATGTTGGCACACTTCTCTGGCTTACAGCATCTGTATCAGGTCGTTGCAACCGAAAAATTTGTTTACCTCATGCTTTCCGGTATATTTTGTTTGTAAGATGTTCTGAAACAGATAAATAAATACATCACGAAAAAGTTTTGGCGAGCTCAATATCTTTGCAAAAACTCGTCTGTATGTTTGCCGTTGCTGATTCGATGAAAAGAAAGAGGAATAAGTCCCAAACCGATTCAGCCTAGTCCATAAATGTCCCAAACCGGTTCGCGCTAGTAAATAAAAACTCCAAGTCCAGAACCAGCCTTAAGTGCAGAGTTGTTAAAAGTGATTCGCCAAAGACTAGGTTCACACAGAGAAACTTTGAGGCTCATTTTCGGCTGTGAACGGCCAACTGGAATTACTCAGACGAATGCGAGCATAAAGCGTGTTGCCCGCAGTGTTGCCAGAGAAAGTTCCCTAAAAATCTTAATTCTTTCCAAAAAAATCTTCAAAATTAGATTTTAAAGCTTAAAAAAATCTTTTCGATCCCAAAAAATCTTCATTTAAAAATACCTTAAAAGAAAGTCGATATTGGCTTTACGGCTGTAAATAGCCCTTATTATGTTGGTTGAAAAAAATTACCAATTTCAAGTTATAAAGTCCTTTTTATAACAACTTAAATTTAAAATGAATATGGCCTCGTGTTATCACAAAATTTGTAGCACAGTTTACATATGTAAATATACACTGGCGAAAATATAAATAGGGACGCGACATTTTGCAAGTTCTGACCGACTCCAAAAATCAATTCGTGCGAATATTTTTTGTATGTATATATGTTACCGCATAACTTTGGACCACTGGAACTTATTTCGATAATTCCTTTTTATCGGAAAGGTGGTACTTCAAGGGAGGCCCCATACTAATTTGGCTTAGATCTGGTCATTGGATCAGGAAGAAATTGACTATCAATATTTACATGAGATTTGATCTCACTTGTGTTTTTTGATTAAAAAATTACTTGTTATTTTTAACTATCAAAAACCATGTAAGTCCAAACTCCAATCTTTGTACAAAAGTTAAGAAAATTCGACAAAGTCGATAACAATTTTGAGCTTTTTAATTCGTTTTTTTATTGATATTTTTACATGGATATTATTTTATACAGCTTACCGCTCCTTTTTTCTCGTTATACATTTATCCACGTAGACTCATCAGCTTAAATGGCAGTTTCCATTGTTGTCATTTAAACTAGAGGGGATACAAAAGACCGTTTCTTCTTTTTCTCCACTCTCTAACTCTGCGCTAGAGTATATGTTTTACTGTGCGAGAGAAGAAGGCAGATAATACTGTAGGGGATTTCATATCTTATTTTTCTTCTTCCTTCATTTGCTGTTACAATGATGTAGCAAGGATAATATCAATAATGTAACAATTTTAACCTAAACTAAAAACTTTACATCATACACAAATATCTTCATTTTGAAGATTTTTTCAGTGTAAAATTTTGCTTTTTAAACAAACTTTTTTTGAAGATTTTTAATAAAAAACAGCCCGGAAATTTTTCATTTTCAAGACAAATCTTGACTTATGGCAATGCTGGTTACCCGAGCACGAGCAACTCGTTACCCTTCCTCGTCACTCCCTATCCCACAAGTATCGAGTTGCCGCGACAAAAGTTTCTCTGTCTGAACCTAGACTAATCATGTCCAGCTCCAGGGTTGCAAATCAGCAGGGTGCACTTGATGATAAATTTTTTTTCATGATGCATTTCCGAACGTTATTTTTTGTAGTTTTTTGTATTATTAATTTTTTTAGGTTTAAATTTTTAATTTTTCAAATTAATTAGAGTTTTGAGTACGCAGTTTTGTTGCTCTTAAATAGTTTAGTGAAAGCTTCAAGTAAGTAGCTACATTGCATATTAGGGGAAAAATGAACATTGTGTAAATTTTTTCCGAATTCCAACTGGTTATAATAATAATGACGTATTTATACTTTTGAATTACATAGGGCACGTATTTTAACCAATTCTTCGCAATGTAACGTAAATCCCAAAGCGAGCCTCAAAGACTCGGCCTGCGTTTTTTAACTATAGTAAATCTAAAATTTTGAAAATTTTATTTATTAGAGCAACAAAATCCAAATCAACCATGTTTAAAATTTTTGTCTGCCGCCTGTCTTTCTGCCTGTCTGTCTGATTGTTTGTACGCGCATCACTCGAAAACTAATGCATGGAATCGAATTCAGTTTTCACCGATGTATTGCTAGAGGCCTAACTTAAAATATAAAAAGAAAAATATTATAAAGTTGCCAGAGAGTTAAGTAAATTGATAAAGAAGTAAATATTGCAATATGGCCGTCAAAAGAAAGAGGTTTAAGAGGTTGAAAATTTTAATTTAATTTGATTTATAAGATAAATTAAATATTGAAATATGGGTATCAAACTGAAGAGGTTTAGGAAAGTGTACTGCCGAAAATATTTTGGAGGAGGGCTGCCACCTGTTTGAAAGATTTTATTGAATTAAATTAATAAAATAAATGAAATCTATACTTATAATAAAATTTTAAGAGGACGATGTCTGCGCTCAATAGATATTAAAGAAATTAATTTGCGCTGCTTTGGAGTGCTCTTATTAGAGCTACAGAAACCAAATCTTCTATACATATAATAAAATTGTAACAGGCCGATGTCTGTACATTATAGCTATTGAAGAAAAATTAATGTGGGGGTCTTTATTAGAGCTACAGAAGCCAAATCAACAATTCTTCAAATTTTTGGCTGTTTGTAGTCTGTCTATCTGTCTGTCTGTATGTTTGTACGCGCATCACTCGAAAACTAATGCATGGAATCGATGTATTCCTAGAGGTCTAACTTACAATATAGAAGGAAAAAACTTAGAGAGTTGCCACCTGTTTGAAAACTGCAGTTTAAATAAACTAATAAGAAAATATAAATAGTAGTAGTAGTATATTTATTATTAACAGTTCAAATACACACATTTGCAACATTATACACACTTATTATGAAATTTAAAAATAAATTAAAAAATATGGCAGTAACTAAGATTGTTGAGTACCACACTAGAACTAACATAGTTAACGCAAACTGCTTACGCAAATTCATTAATAATAAGATCCCTGTATTAAATTCCTATTTTGCAAATATTTGCGCAACGCTTCGTAATCACCGCCATTTAAGATGTTTATCACTCTTGCCAGGTCCAAAACTTTTTCACCGAAGCTATCCAAACGAGACGCGTTGTAGGCTGGGCAGACACCGATAAAGTGGTAAATACTTTCCGCATCGCCTAGGTTATATAGGACATATAACGTGACGTTTTTAAATGATCTCGCATTAAGGTTAAGCAGACCACCTCTCGCGCGGAAGATTAAGCTAATAGCATACGAAGAGTGCTCGTCGTTGAAATATTTAACCCTTTTGGGTGTTAAATGAGGGTAAAGGTCATGTGTGCTAGAGCTTTGGGCGCGCTCAACATAAAGTTTGAACTCTTTTTCGACAAGTTTACTAAGCAACAAGGGGGTAAAAATTTTAAGGAACTTAGGGGTTCCAAGTCTGCGATGAGTGATAGGCGAAAATATAAATATTGCAATATGAGCGTCTAAAGAAAGAGGTTTAAGAAGGCTTACAGCCGAAAATATTTTTTGAGGGTTGCCACCAGTTTTAAAATTTAAATTTAATTTAATTGATAAGACAAATTACAAATTGCAATATGGGTCGCAAACTGAAGAGGTTTAGGAAAGTTTACTGCCAAAAATATTTTAGAGGAGGGTTGCCACCTCTTTGAAATTTTTTTATTAAATTAAATTGATAAATGAAATCTATACTTAAAATAAAATTTTAAGAGGACGATGTCTGCACTTGATAGATATTAAAGAAATTTATTTGCGCTGCTTTGGAGTGCGCTAATTAGAGCTACAGAAGCCAAATCTTCTATACATATAATAAAACTAGCTACTGAGTTTTACCGATGGTCTTATTTCCACCTGTGAGATCTCTGCCAAGCGTGCGCAATATTCTTCTATGATCTTGCAACTTCAACATTGGTCCGTAAACCAGTTTTCAGTTATAGGAGGACCAAGAAAATCCTCGCCCCCCATCCCCCCCAGGATGAAAAGTTTTCCCGTACATTGAATAAA